TTCAAGACCAGCCTGGGCAACAGAGTGACACCCCTGTCTCTACAAAAAATTAAATTATCTGGCCATGGTGGGATGTGCCTGTGGTCCCAGCTATTCAGGAGGCTGAGGTAGGAAGATGACTTGAGCCCAGGAGGTGGAGGTTGCAGTGAACCGATTGTGCCACTGCACTCCAGCCTGGGTGGCACAGCCAGACCCTGCTTCAAAAAAAAAAGTATTAGCATATGGATTAACCACCTATCTTCCGCTTTCTATCATCAGCTACTTTGAAATTCTATTTCTTCGCCAGGTGTGGTGGCTCACGCCTGTAATCCCAGCACTTTGGGAGGTTGAGGCAGGCAGATCAGAAGGTCAGGAGATCGAGACCATCTTGGCCAACATAGTGAAACCCCCTCTCTACTAAAAATACAAAAATTAGCTGGGCACAGTGACACACACCTTTATTCTCAGCTACTAGGGAGGCTGAGTCAGAATTGCTTGAACCCGGAAAGGAGAGGTTGCAGTGAGCCGAGATCATGCCACTACACTCCAGCCTGGGTGAAAGAGTGAGACGCCATCTCAAAAAAAAAAAAAAAAGAAAAAAAGAAATTCTGTTTCTTCCTTCTACTTTGTTAGGTTTGTCCTGCCAGTTATGTACTGCAGCAGGGTGGGGGTGGGAGACAGCTCCTCTATTGCTATGTGCCATTTTCCACCTCCACTGTTTCTGTTCTACCTGAAATGTTCTAGACACAGATCTTCATGATTGCTCTGAGATCTTTCTTAAGGAAGCCATTACTGATAACATTTAGTTCTTGGACTGAAGAGTAATTAAGGTCATTAGTTTCTTTTTTTTTTTTTTTTTTTAATAATTTTTCTTTTTTTTATTTGATTTTATTTTTTTAAAAGACAGGGTTTCACCATGTTGGTCAGGCTGGTCTTGAACTCTCAACCTCAGGTGATCTGCCTGCCTTGGCCTCCAACGTGCTTGGATTACAGGTGTGAGCCACCACGACTGGCCTAAGGCCATTAGTTTCTTTGTGTGGTTCCTCTTTCACTGTCTCTCAGTTTTTTAGCTGATCTATTACAACAATGAGACAGAACAAGGAACAGCAGGTGCCACATAATAAAAAAGCCCCTCACCAATTAGGTGGTGATGCCACTAAGACTGTCTCCCTGCTTCTTCTCACAAAGTGATTCCACACCCTTTTTCTGAGACTTAGACTTAACAGAGTCGAAGGGACCTGGACTGTTAAAAAAGACACAACTCTCCGCTTCATAGGGGATGAAACGTGGAACAGTGTAGTCAAGTTATATGAACTCGTCAAGTGAATAGCACACCAAAATAAAGAATCGGGTCTCCTGACTTCCAAAACAATCTTCTCTTCCCTACACCATGCTAACTCTTACTGCAGAGACAGCAAGACATTTTATCCTAAATGGGCTTTGGCGACTAGCCTAAATAACTAAAGTTGAACTCAATTGAACATGGACCCAAACAATGGTCACCAAGTCCTGGAAGGGGTTGTGTGAGCCCCTTGAGGTGTTCATCCGGTGTTATCTCGGAGAAATCTCTATTTCAACCTATTCGTATACGTTAATTATTGAAAAACAATAGACAATCACAAAAACAAGTTGACCTTTTTGTGTTCCTTGAGCTGTTCAGGAAGAGCCCTCGTGACTGGGCCTCATGCCAAACTTGTTACAAAAGGACCGAGGGTCCCAGACTGCACCAAAGCTTCATGAGACCTTTCCTCCTCTGTGCACGGACAAGTGGCTGACTCTGGAGCCCAGGCTGTTGCTTCCCTGTCTGGTGATCAATCCTCCATAGTCTGGTGAGTGTAAATATATTTATTTCTTTTCCCTTATCCCCTTCCCATTGCAATTTGCTTATTATATCATTTGCTTATTATATCTGCATTGCCATTTATGTGGGATAAAGTTTGTTTACCCTTAAAGGTATTATGTGTGTGTCTTTTCTTCTCCCGCCATGCGTTTTCCACACAGAACACCTATGAACCTATTTTTTATGATTTTTATGAGAAAATGAATTCCAAGTTGTGCCTCAGAATTTATCTTTTAACCTCCTACTCATTCCCTCACCACCCTGGTGAACACAGTATCTGGCCAGCAAGAATGAATGAAGAAGACTTCATTCATATTTATGTTCTTAATAACTCGCTTGGAAATGAACAGAGCACAATTTATCCAAAGCAAATATTTATACAGGCAGATCCCTCAAAACTGAGGATTCATGTTTAGGAAGAATTTTTTAGAATTATCCAAATTAACCACTTGTCTTTCTCAGAAATAAATCTGTTACTAATGCTTCCTCTACCAGCCAGCTGCAAAACCACACACTATTCTTTGAAAGAAGAACACAGAAAACCAACTTACTTCCTGGAGCATATAGGAGAGGGATCTAAAAATCCTGGTGATAAGGGAGTGACTAGAAAATTTTTTTTTTTTTTTGGTAACAAAGCTAAAAAGGGGGGTGTGTAACTTAGCTTGACTTGGAAAAATATTCATAGAAGTTATCTATATACTACCACTTGTATATTTATGTTAGAGTATTAGAGATTATTCACATCATCAAGTATGTCAAGTTAAATTATTAGATAACAGCACAGCACCAACTTCTTGTTCATAGTTTGTCAGTCTTCAGCTGGGCATGGCGGCTCACGCCTGTAATGCCAGCACTTTGGGAGGCCAAGGTGGGTGGATCACTTGAGGTGAGGAGTTCAAGACCAGCATGGCCAACATGGGGAAACCCCGTCTCTACTAAAAATAAAAAAATTAGCTGGGCATGATGTTGGGTGCCTGTAATCCCAGCTACTCAGGAGGCTGAGGCAGGAGAATCACTTGAACCCAGGAGGTGGAAGTTGCAGTAAGCCAAGATGGCACCACTGCACTCCAGCCCGGGTGATAGAGCAAGACTCCATCTCAAAAAAAAAAAAAAAAAAAAAAAAAAGAGTCTCTCAGTCTTCATACTTTGTTGCTTATATATCTGCTTCTAGGTTTTAAGATAAAATAAAAGTGCTGGCCTAGGAACTGGAGGCCAGTTTACCTTAGGGGCAAAGGCAATGGTGGTGAATATATCCAACAGCTTCACTTTCTATGGAGCAAGCTTGTAAAATCTTGAGCAAGGATGATGGCAGCAGAGCTGTCTGCCTAACCATCATGTAGAAAACTTTTAAATGATTTCTTTGGACCCTAGCTTGTAGTGTGGTTTCTGATCCTCACTGTATTGGAAATCCGTGGTTTTGTTACATAATGTATTCCTAAAAATGTGTACACGTGTTGAGTATGTGGAAGTTGAATATATTTATGTTACAAATGAGCAGTTCTGTTTCTGGAAAATGAAAATTTTCACCTCATCATTATATACAGTCTTTGATAACACAGTCCCAGTGTTTCATCCAAATGCTTTCATTTTCTTCTTTTACATATAACCAACCATCTTGGATATGAAAGGAACAACCAGTGAGGGCTTAAAATCTGCCACTTTTGACTCAGCACTCCTGATCAGTTCCATCCACATCTCAAGTGTGTCACATTCATGAGACGCAGGCTTCTCATCAGCAATTTCAATTTTATGTTTTCTACTTATTTTTATATAGCAATACAATGCAACAAAATATTTATATATTGCACAAACAGTGATGTGGATACAAAGATGCTAACAACATTGGCTGGAATTAGGCTTTACCATGTTACAATCTAAATGCTTATTCATCAGAGAATGTAGAAAATTCTAAATTTGGCATCCAAAAGGGGGCTTAGAGTTATTGAATATTTTTTAAAGTGTCACTTTAATCAAATTCAAGTTTGCCTACGATGGAGACTGTCTAAAGTAACAGTAAGAGCAAGCATACCAACATCAAAATTCTTGTTCTTATCTCACATGCCCCTCTTTCTCCAAAATAAGTGACAAGGAGAGTAACAGGACCACTGAAGGAACATTTGCAGAATGTTACTAAGTGCCAGGCCCTGGACAAGGTAATTAATTACTACGAACACTCTCATGATGGACATGGCCAATAGTGTATTTTATGTCAAAAAACAACAAAAACAAAAAAACCCAAGACTTCAGAAGCTGTTAACTTCAGTAAGAGTCCTGGTTTGCGGGACTGAGGAATGAGATTGAGAAAGAACCTTTAATCATTTGAAAAGGACCCAATAAAACTGTACTTAAATGGATCATTAATGTGGATATTTTACATTTGTGTGGGATAGAGAATAATCTCATGGGAAACAAACACATTTAAATTTTTTTTTTTTTTTTTTTTTGAGACGGAGTTTCGCTCTTGTTACCCAGGCTGGAGTGTAATGGCGCGATCTCGGCTCACCGCAACCTCCGCCTCCTGGGTTCAGGCAATTCTCCTGCCTCAGCCTCCTGAGTAGCTGGGATTACAGGCACGCGCCACCATGCCCAGCTAATTTTTTGTAGTTTTAGTAGAGACGGGGTTTCACCGTGTTGACCAGGATGGTCTCGATCTCTTGACCTCGTGATCCACCCGCCTCAGCCTCCCAAAGTGCTGGGATTACAGGTGTAAGCCACCACGCCCAGCCCTTAAAATATTTTTTAAAGAAATAGTTCTGATTCTAATTTGACTGTATGTTTAGGCATCATTAAAGACCTCTGATTTGAAGGTAGATTTATGTCCCAGGGACTCCGAATTCATGACATATTTTAAGGCTCCACATTCTATGCAAAAATGGATTTACCAAGCGTGGAGGTAATAAGTATGTAAAAAATAGATAACTACAGTGGTACTTTGGTATCCATGGGGAATTGGTTCCAGGATCCCCCAATACCAAAATCCACAAATGCTCAAGTCCCATATATAAAATGGCATATATTTGCATATAACCTACGAACATCCCCCTGTATGCTTTAAATCATCTCTAGATTTCTTATAATATCATACAATGCCTGCACATCACTTCATTTACATGAATTCAACATAGTTCTTAGCATGCAGCAAATTCAAGTTTTGCTTTTTGAAACTTTATAGATTTTTTTTCAAATATTTTTGACCCAAGGTTGGTTGAATCCACAAATACAGAACCCATACATTTGGAGGACTGACTGTATTTCTATTTTCGGTTTGCTTTTCCTCCTTAGATCCCTCAACAAAGAAAAAGTCAAAGGTCCTCCTCTCTCTCTATGACCAGAACTAAGACCTATAAAGGAAATAGAGCACTAAGTGGGGTCCCTGGAATCCCCAGCTTCTGGTTTCCAACCACTTCTAGATGTTCTCTGGAAACACAACTGCGCTGAAACTGTACTGAGGTATAAATTCCTGAATTGAAAAGAAAACAAACAAACAAGCTTGGTAGTCTCATGCCTGGGAGATATGGAAGATGGAAAATTCTGGAAGACCAATAGTCAGGCACTGATGAACTTCTACATCTGGGCATTTCTTGAGGGAGAGAGGGCCTGGCTATTTGGAGTTGGAAAACATGGTGACCTAGAATGAGCAGGACCAGTCTAGACTCACCTCTTCATTTAACTAACTGAATAGTCTTGGTTCCAGACTTCCGTGGAATCTCAGATTTGCCTTCTATATAAGAGGAGTTAGTACTAATCCCTCTCTAGTCTTTTTTAGTTTGTTGTGTGTGACCAGCCCTAGCACTTAAATACCCTGCTGAATATAGAGAAAAGTAGAATAATTATTTTAAAATTAGGTCACTTATCTTCTTATTTGAATACTACAAGTCTTATAACCTCTTCTAGAAATGAGACTGAACTAGCAAATACATAAAGACTAATATAAGTGCATTTCGGTAAAATCACTGGTAAAGTATATTTATGATCAATCTTTTTATGCTTTTGATATGGCAAATTAGAGGTAAGTATTTCTGATTAAGTCTTCATCCGTTTGGCAAACAAGTATATGGTTTGGTATACTTGGCGATGGTGAATAAAACCCTTAGTTTTTCACTTCTTCATGCCTTAATAAAGTCTTCAAGGCAAGCCCAAACCAGCAGGGCTGCAATACTATCAGCAATGAGAATGGGTCTTAAAGTCAACAGTCATGCCACAAAACTCAGCAGGAAGACATCATGAACAGGCTGAAAACTGTGAGTCTTAAAGTCAGTCCTGAAGTAGGCAGGTTTTAGGAGATGGAATCAGCGTCCTCTGGGTGGAACAGGTGGAGGAGGATGGAAGGTCTCCCTGGATGGTGGCCTGAAATGAAAGATAAAGCAACTCTATTTAAAAACTGATTTGATTAAATAGTTCTTATGCGTGCACAATTTGTTGTAAACTTGGTATACTATGCAAAGGATACGTTCCTCAATTAATGAGACAGGACACACATGAATGTTTGAGTGACTCACACGCTAGCTGTGGCTCCCAATCCTGGTGGCACATTAGAAACACCAGTGGAGCTTTTAAAATCACCAGTGCCAAGGATCCATCCCAGACCCATTGCATTCTAAGCTCCAGAGGCAAAGCTTTTGAATAGCTTCCCTCCCCAACCAGTTGTGCTCACCATCCCTTTCATCATCAGATGCTTTGCCATATGGGGGCCTTGCTAACCCTGGAGAGACTGCCCCTCCCAAGATAAGCTAATTCCTAGAAATAGCAAACAAACGGCCTGCCTTCAAGCACCAAACATGCCTTTCATATGCAAACCAACCAGTCCAGACCCATGCCCCAACCACCTCCTCTATGGGGCTTTCACACTCCACTTTATAAAGCCACCATTCACTTGCCTTTGTCATCCTAGGGCCAGGTACCAGACAACTAGGGTCAGCCTGTATGCCTCAGAGCCAATGAAATCATTCAAACTAGCCAATTCTAAATCTTACCCAGCCTCACCTGTTTCGTCCTATGGAAACCACAATAAAAGCTCTTGTCTGCTTTTTCCCATGCTCCTCTGCCTCCTGACTGGCCCTGATGCTTCCCCATGTAGCCCCCTGTAGGGTGATGTAGCTCCTCTTGGGGGATCTGTGAGTATAACAAACTATCTTTTCAATGGCAGTTGTCTCCTGATCTGCTGACTTTGCCATACCTAAATAATAACAAAACCTAGATTTTAAAACACCAGCAATTCTAATAGTCACACGGGAGACACACTGTAGTAGGAAGATCTGTTGAGAGAGGAACTGGAATTCTCAAAGCCTGCTTCTCATGACCGCTTCCTCATGGGATTACTGTTATCCCAACTCTGTGTCTGCCTTCCTAGGAACTTCCCTCCATGTTATTCTGTATGGTTTTGAACAGTCTTAAATGACATTCCAGGTAGACTAGGGTGAGTCTATTTTTTTTTGAGATGGGGTTTCACCATGTTGGCCAGGATGGTCTCGATCTCCTGACCATGTGATCCGCCTGCCTCGGTCTCCTAAAGTGCTGGCATTACAGGCGTGAGCCACCGCGCCCTGCCAGGGTGAGTCTATTTACAGACAGGTTCAAGGCTTACAGATGGCATTTCCACATGTGTGCTGTAAAACCAATATTTAATTCCCTTGGAAGCAAGTCAATAAGTCAAGAAAAAGAGCTTTGTTAGGTGCTGTAATTGAACTGTGCTACCCTGGAGTTGCATACGTGATTGATTGAATCAATGAGTAAATATGTACTAAATGTCTCTTGAATGCAAGGTTTGTGTAGGTCAAGGAAATGACAACAGACTTGGGAAAAGAAGGGCTGTCTCAGGAGCAAGAGAGAGAGGCAGGAGCAGAACATAAGAAGCACAGACAACCTCGAGAGATCCTGCCCTAATCGGGGACTAGATAGCTTTGTGCAGTTGTCACTGAGTGACTGAGCTTTATCACATGAAAACAAAACGATGGCCTCCTTCCATCTCTTCAGCCTGCCCTGTGAGCTTGGGCTTATAGGAGAAAACCAAAGGACAATCAGGCAATACCACTTTTACCTGAGCAAATTTAGCCTGCCCACCTCTCTGCTGTGTTTCTTTCATTCTTTCAAAAAACATTAATTTACTTTATATCTATACCTGGTTATGGGCTATATAGCATCAAGTAAAGTGGTCCTGGATTAGGTCCTCAAGATGATGCAAGTGTGTGGATGAGATAGACAATAGGCAAAAATCTGTAAACGCTATGGAGTGTTTTGACAGGGAAGGTTCAGAACCTAGAGGAACATATACAGAGACATTTATGCACACATGTGTGTGTGTGCAAGTTCAATGCCTCTGACACTGTTTTCTCATCTGCCAGATGGAGGTACTGATCCCTACGTTGAAGTGCCATGTTAGGTTTGGAGATGACAGTAGGAAAGTAGGTAGCAGTTTCTGGCTTGGAGTAGGCACTCAACAAGTAAAGCTAATACTATAATGATGATGATTAAAGATCTGTTCTGAAATCTTTGTCTGTTCCCCAGGTATGCCTGATAAGCCTTACATTTTATCTTCCAACACAGAGACAGCCATGACTTCCTCCCAGCCCCTCTTCTTCTTTCTGCTGCCACACTCTGCAGTTGGGGTGGGCCTATGGATATACCCTCTTTAGTTTTCATTCTGAGGAACAACTCCAGCTAAAGATTGGAAGCTACATCTCAAGGAAACTTATTTATAATTACAGACATAAAATTACAGGTTTTTTTTTTGAGACACGGTCTCATTCTGTTATCTCGGCTGGAGTGCAATGGCATGATTGCAGCTCACTGCAGCCTCAACCTCCCAGGCTCAAGCAATCCGCCCACCTCAGCCTCTTGAGTAGCTGGGACTACAGGCACACACCACCACATCTGGCTAACTTTTGTGGGGTTTTTTTTGTAGTGATGGGGTTTTTCCATGTTTCCCAGGCTGGTCTCAAACTCCTGAGCTCAAGGGATCCACCTGCCTTGGCCTCCCAAAGTGCTGGGATTACAGGCATGAGCCACTGTGCCTGGCCAGGAGTGGGAAGTTTCTTTCTCCCATCTATAACCCATCTGCATGATGGTAGATGACTTGATGGCTAATTTTTTAAGAGCTCGGGAAGTCCAACCCAAACAGTACCAATCTATCCTTCCATCCATTCACTTAGCCAGTGAATATCTTTTAAGTTCCTAGTATGTGCCATTTACTTTGCCAAGAACTAGAGATAGGAGAAAAAAATTAAAAAATAAAAACAGTTTCTCATAGGTTCACGATTTCACTAGGGAGACACATCTACACAAGGGTTGCAACAGGGAGTGTATTACTAGAGTATAGAATGCAATAGGAGTGCTTGTGAAACCAAAAGAAGAAGATTCACTCTGCATGGAAACATTAGGGAAAGCTTCACAGAGGAGGTGATATTTGAACTGAGTCCTAAAGGATGTATAGGCATTTTCTAAACAGAGAGTAGAAGGGAGTAGGAAGATAGCATTCCAGGCAAAAGGAACAGATTGGGCAAAGAAACAGTACAAAGTGGCACAGCTCACTGGGAATGCTGAGCGGTGGAGCGTCATGAATACAGGAGAGGGGTAGGACTTGAGCGAGGCAGAGCCAAAGAATGCTGAAACACACAGAATTAAATGTGAAGGCTTTTATGCCAGGCAATGGTATCATCAGCTATTCCTGTTCTAGGAAGGGCACTCTGGCTGCCGTGTGGAGGAGGGAGTGACTGGAGGTAAGGAGGTAAGTGTGGGCCTTCAAGAATGAACTTAGGCACCGGCAGATGGAAAGGAGTGTGGATCTGACAGCTGAAAGAGCACAAAATGGACAGAGCCTGGAGACACACTGGGTATGAGAGCTACAAGGGAGGCAGGGCCCGAGGATGACTCCCAGGTTTGGGGCTTGGGGAAGGAGAGAATGGTGCCATTATCTCAGGCTGGGAACTCATGAGAAGGCAGTTTGGGGTAGAGAAGGGTAGGTGGGCTGATGAGTTCAGTTTTGCACAGGTATGTCTGAGATACCAGTGAGGTCCCTGAGAGAAGATTCCCCAGTCAACTGTAGGAAAGAGAAGGCTGTGATGGAGATGGAGACTTGGGGTCTTTGTCTACTGGTGGCAATTCAGGCTCTGGGAGAGCATGTAGAGTGAGCAGAGGCATGGACCAGAACTGGGACGGAGGGACAAGTGAGATGGAGGCTGTACCACCAGTGCTGTTTGGTTGGGACCAGGGGTGAGCGGGGAGATTAGAACACAGGTAGAGAAGAGATGCTGATTCCCAGATCTGACAGTGGAGACAAGGACACCAAGGTCAGCCTTCAATCCTGTCTGTGAGCAGGGCAAGCACTGAAGCCATTCCAGAGAGAGGCCTGTTTTATTATCTGCTCAAATATCCCCTTGTTTTATTGTGAAAATGGCATACACATGTACAAAATAATTGCATACTCATAAATCTTTTTTCACACCAAAAATGCACCCAAACCCCAAGTTCTATCAATTACAAATTGCTTTGTAAACATTGTTTCTTTAGCAAAAAGTGTTTTCCTCCTTTTCTCTCCCTATTTCTATCACAACATGCTTCCAGACTTCCCAGGTAATTCAACCACCATCTCTTCTTACACATTTACATGCTTCCTACTTTCTATCCTAATTTTTGGAACCTGTTTCCCTGGTTGTTGTTGTTGTTAACAAAATCCCACAGAATCTTTGTAGCTAAAGTTTCAAGCTTGACAACTCTTTTATCTTGATACAATTAGACAACTGCCTCCAAAGTCCTCAACCTTCATGAATAAAAGGACTTGGATCTTGAACCTCCTCCCCTAATACTTAGACTTTCATGGACAGGTATAAAAGAATGTCTATGAGATGAAGTCTGGGAGTCAGGAGTACTCAGGTTTGCCACACAGAGCAAGTCTCAACCCAATCTCAAGCTCCAGTTTCTGCATCTGCAAAATGGGATAACACTAAATACCTAACCTGTTAGGGTTGTAGAGAGAATTAAACAGGATAATACATTTAGTATGTTTAACAGAATACCTGCCACATAGTAAGTCTCAATAAATAACAGCATTTATCACCATCACTGCTCTTGGTAACCCCTCCAGTCACCAACTATGTAATAATTTTCAAGCAACAGGGCATAATGCAAATTCAGGGAACGGGACTAGATTACTGCTAAGCTTCCTTCCGGGACTAATATTCTAATCCATGCCCTCCAGTCTACACCAGGGAAGCATGCCCGGTGGGTGTGATGCAGCTTGGAGATGGCTGATGTTTGAGTAGCAAGCGCCAACATACAAATGTTGCTGGGAGGACATGGGAAGGTGATAAATAGCAAAGGGAGAAATGGAAAGATGCACGGAGCCAGCCTCTCTTTTCAGAAAACCAGAAGAAAGGCCTCCTTGTTGCACTTTCTCAACAAATTCCACTGATGATCTTCATCTAAAAGTTTCAAAATGCAAAAACACAAAACAAAACCCTGGTTGAAGAAAAGCCTCCTCCTTCCTTATGCCCCATCAACACATGCACAATTTATTTTAAACATCAAAGAATTAACTCCTAAGCCTTGGCTTTATTCCCAAGGGCTCCTTTCTGCGTCACAGAAAGGAGTGGACACAGAAGCCAGCTGTAACCACTTTTTCTGTTACTCCACAAGATCAGACCATAAAAAGGTTCCTACCAGAGGCCCAAGTATCATATAAACAAAGGCATACATCAGAGTCTAGTAAATTAGTCAAACTCTTTAGTCTAATGTTCATCTCCAGATTTCTAGATATTAACTCCCCTCCTCTATTAAAAAAGTATCACTTATATTGCTGAGCTCTTACTATAGGCCAAGAACTCAATGCTTATGACTCTGCAGACTGTTCTGTTATTATCCTCATTTTATAGACAAGGAAATTGAGGCTGAGCATGGTGACTCACATCTGTTTTCCCAGCACTTTGGGAGGCTGAAGCAGGCGAATTACCTGAGGTCAGGAGTTCAAGACCAGCCTGGCCAACATGGCAAAACCCTATCTCTACTAAAAATACAAAAATTAGTTGGGCATGGTGGAAGGTACCTGTAATCCCAGCTTGGGAGGCTGAGGCAGGAGAATCACTTGAACCAGGAGGCGGAGGTTGCAGTAAGCTCAGATTGCGCCACTGCACTCCAGACTGGGTAACAGAGATACATGAATTCAAGTTTCCAAGTAGCTGCTAGTGACTTGGCCCCAGGTAGGAAGGCCCTAGAGTCAGGCTTCCCACCAGCACACGATGCTGCCTGTCACCTGTATTTTCATTTCCAATCCTTCATATTTCCTGTTTCCCCAAAAGGCACTGTCCCCACAGTCCAACCAAGGGAATTCATTATTGGAGAGTTGAATTCTAGCCAAACTGATAAAAACTATTTTAAAAGTTGACATTTGTTAATGTATTTCATTTATGAAACATTGCATTTGCTATTTAAAGTATTTGCAACTGAATAATGCATCACTTAAATTAATAAAGGGTCCACATTGAAATGTGTCCAAAGCAGGCATTTCAGTTAGCTCTGTGCTAATTTTTTTTGTTTGTTTTTTTCGAGACAAAGTCTTGCTCTGTCTTCCAGGCTGGAATGCAGTGGTGCGATCTCAGCTCACTGCAATCTCTGCCTCCCAGGTTCAAGTGATTCTCCTGCCTCAGCCACCCAAGTTGCTGGGACTACAGTCATGTGCCATCATGCCCAGCTAATATTTGTATTTTTAGTAGAGATGGAGTTTCACCACGTTAGCCAGGATGGTCTCGATTTCCAGACCTCATGATCTGCCCACCTCAGCCTCTCAAAGTGTTTGGATTACAGGTGTGAGCCACCGCATCCAGCTCTGAGCTTATTCTTAAGTCATTTTAGGTGTCCCCAAGTCCTATTCTCCCCCAGGATTCAGAGATAAGGGAAAAATTTCATATCTTTTGATGTTACCTCTGTGAGGCAGCTCTTGGAGGCACCCTGGGGGGTCTTTCAAGGGACATGGTGGGTGTCCCATCCACTTGTGGGGGGGGCTGGACTGCGGCTTCTGGTAGCCTCAGGGACTTCATTATCCTACAGCAAACAAGATGAGAAAGAACAGCAAAAAATGCATTCAGCAACCAGCATAGCTGGACAACCATATCCCAAAAGCCCTTCGGCCCTCTTTAGGCTGGGGCTGAAGGATGTTTGCAAACTGATCATCAACCCGGTCATACCTAGCAGTGTTCCATTTCCTCCTAGAGTCACTGAGGAACACAATCTGGCCCCAATTATCATTAACTGCCTGGACTCTAATTACTTGCTACTCAAAGTGTGCTCTGTGGCCGGTCAGCATCAGCATCAGCTGGAAGCTTATTAAAAATGTCCACCCGAGGACCCTTCTCAGAGGGCTTCAGGGTTGGCAGTGACCCATGTGGCCCCTCCTGCTTGTCCCAGCCACCAGTCCCTAGATCAAGCTAGACACGTGTCCCACATTGGGCCAACATGGAATGGGGCTTCAACCTAAAGCAACAACTTACTCCCTGCTCAGAGGCCTTGTGGCCTCAGGGGACTGTGGAGAAGTGGAAGGTGGCAGTGTGAGGGGAAAGAAAGCAGGTGTGCGCAGAGAAGCAGAGACCAAAGAGCTTTTGGGCCCGGGACACACAGAAGAGTGACCCCAGCTCCCCCTGGCAGGCCCTGCAGCTCCTGATCCAGACTTGGAGTGTGGCCCTCACCCCTGGGTCCCCTGAGACTCACCCTGCTCCTTCCCACAGATGCCCCTTTTGGTTTCACTAGTAAGAGTGAATTTCCAGCTATTTTCTTCCTTCCATTCTTTCCTTCTTTTCTATTTATTGAGGTGAAGTTAACATAAACGTAACCATTTTCAAGTGGACAATTCAGTGGCATTCAGTGTATTCACAATGTTGTGCAACGTCTATCTAGTCTTAAAACATTTTCATCACCCCCCAAAAAACCCCTGTGTGATGGTGAATACTGTCAATTTGATTGGATTGAAGGATGCAGAGTATTGATCCTAGGTGTGTTTGTGAGGGTTTTGGCAAAGGAGATTAACATTTGAGTCAGTGGGCTGGGGAAAACAGACCCACCTTAATCTGGTGGGCACCATCTAATCAGCTTCCAGTGAATATAAAGCAGACAGAAAAACATGAAAAGGACAAACTGGTCTAGCCTCCCAGCCTACATCTTTCTCCCATGCTGGATGCTTCCTGCCTTTGAACATCAGATTCCAAGTTATTCCGTCTTTGAGTCTTAGACTGGCTTCCTTGCTCCTCAGCTTGCAGATGGCCTATTGTGGGACTCTGTCATCGTGTGAGTTAATACCACTTAATAAACTCCATATATATATACTATTAGTTCTATCCCTCTGGAAAACCCTGACTAATACGCCTTGTCCCCATTAAGCAGTTTCTTCCCATTCCTCCTCCCTCTATCCCCTGGCAACCACCAGTCTGCAAACTGTCTCTGTGGATTTGCCCACTCTGGCATTTCATATAAATGGAATCCTATAATATATGACCTTTTGGGTCTGGTTCCTTTCACCTGAGTTTCTATCTCTTGTGATGAAATGACCCCTAGGACAAGATAGGTGGGGTGGGGTCCCAGTTCTCACCTCGTTGTCCCCCTCCATTCCACTGCTCACACTGAGGAGGCTCCGGGTGCTGGAGCGGTTACTCATGCTGCCTAAGGGACAGAAACAAAATCAGACGGATTGAGGATTCTTTCAGGCTAAAATAGAGAACTCTAGCACTTACTTAGTTTTATTGACATAAATAATACACAAGCTGTAAGTATGGGATTCTTCAAACTTTGGCCATCTTAAACTTTTTTTTTTTTTTTTTTTTTTTAAGAGACAAGGTTTTGCTGGAGTGCAGTGGCACAATCACAGCTCACTTTAGTCTCAAACTCCTGGATATAAACAATCCTCCTGCCTTACCCCCCTAAGTGGGTAGGACTACAAGTGTGTGCCAACTTGCCCACCCAATTTTTTTTTTTTTTGGTAGCAACAGGATCTCACTCTGTTGTGCAGGCTGGTCTTCAACTCTTGGACTCAAGCGATCCTCCTGCCTCAGCCTCCGAAAGTGCTAAAATTACAAGTGTAAGCCACTGTGTCCAGCCTTAGACCATTTTATTAGAGTTCCATTTCTTTCAGCATAAAACAAAATTATTCACTTTTTGATGACTAACTTTGGCATTACTGCTACCATTGACTGAGGGCTTTGAAAATGTGATTGCCATTTAACTCCTATGAAAATCTTGTTTGATAGTGGTGCTCCAGTTTGACGGACAAGACAGCAAAGGTGCTGACTCTCAGCTCTTCAGCAGTATTTGTAAAATCTGCAAACTAACTTTGTTGCTACAGCTTTTTACTTAGGAATTTTAGCAAACACGTATGTATCACCCATGCAGACACACCTTGTAATAAGGGGCCAGACCCTTTGACACAAAAGAAAATGCAAAGTACACACTCAAAAGTATAATTTTTTTTTTTTTTTCTGAGACAGAGTTTTGCTCTATTGCCCAGGCTGGAGTGCAGTGGCACGATCTTGGCTCACTGCAATCTCTGCCTCCTGGTTTCAAGGATTCTCCTACTTCAGCCACCCAAGTAGCTGGGACTACAGCCATGTGCCATCATGCCTGGCTAATATTTGTATTTTTAGTAGAGATGGGGTTTCACCATGTTGGCCAGGCTGGTCTCAAAACTCCTGACCTCTTGATCTGCCCACCTCGGCCTCCCAAAAAGCTGGGATTACAAGTGTGAGCCACCATGCCTGGCCCTCAAAAGTACAATTTATGTTCATGGTCAGAATTGTGACTCTGTGAGTTTAGGCACTCAAGGCTTTTCAGTTGGGAATTTATCACCTGTATCATTAGAGTAGCACCATCCAACATAACTTTCAGGACATCTTTTATTGTGTGTTATCCAATATGGTAGCAAGTAGGAAACATGGCCAGTGCAACCAAGGAAATTAATTTTAAATTTTATTTAGTCATAATTAACTTAAAAATTTAAATAGCCCATGCAGCCAGTGGCTACCACACTGGACAGCACAGCATTAGAATAAGCACATGGTGATCTAGCAGTGAAGAAGAAAGAATAAGAGTTAACCAACTAAAACAAGGAGATCTTAACTTTAATTTTCCAATATTCTCACTAACAACATAGCCAAGATCTTAGGTTTGCTGAATTTCCACTTCAGATAGCTCCTAGCCACATAACTTTATAGGTAGCAGTTTTGGCTGCATTCTGGTATCAACTTTGACCTAATTAATTTAGCTGTTAGTTTGAATAGAGCAGGTTAAGATTATAATTTTGAATTATTTCTTGGGGACAGATTTTTAAGTTTAAAATACTATATTAAAATGTTTCTATAATCCAGGGGATGCAGAATTGGTTTATTAATGAGCATGTGATCCCGTCCCTTTCTACTCAGTTACCCATACACAACACTGTTCAAGGACCAGGCTGTCTTTTTCTCCCTACTCCTCCCAGCCCACTCCTGTCCACAAGTCTAAAACCTCCTCAGTCTCCAAGGCTCAGGACAAATGCTATCAAAACCTTTCCACATTCCCCCTACTAAAAGTGACCCCTTGAGCCCACAGGCCCGCATCCTTCTGGGGCTAAGCCTCCCCATGCCATTCCCTAGTGTTCGCCACATTCCCTTACGATGAGCCATCATCTTTTTGAAGGTTATCTGCTAGCAAGAAGTAATAAAGCTGCAACAGGCACCGGCTCCATGACTCCAGAAACTCATACCCATCAGTTTCCACTGTCACTTCTGTTGGCATTCTTAAATCTTCAACCCCAATATTTGGCTCTAAATCTTGGCCCTGGCCCTCCTCCTCTCCAGGCTGATGACTTGCTTGCCCAAATCCCCTCTGGGCTGCACAGTTGGAAAGAGACTCTGGCCCCAGCTCCCCTCGTCTTCATACTTGCCAGGGAGAAGGAGGGCAGTGCCCTCCCCTTGGTAGGCTTCTATCATCAGGAGAGAAGTATTGGACAAGCATCTAACACTATGCTACTTTTGTACTTTCTCTCCTCTGTTATGAGTCTCCTAAAGACAGGCTCTGGTTCTTTTTCATCTCTGGGTCTCTAGTATACAGTCTAGCTCAGTATACACAGAGCTGTCCTCAGTATTTGGTGGATCAATGAGTGAGAGAAAAAAATGAATATATAAAAGTATAATATGATTCTTAAGAAACTTAGTTACACTTGAAACTATTGTCTGTTTTAAAAAAGAAAGAAAGAAAAAAGAAACTTGGGCCAGACAACCTAGGAGGTCAACAGCCTTTCTGTTATGAAACTTTTGTTTGCTTAAACATAACACTAATATGTGGGGCTTGAATTTTTAGTTATAACCAGGTTTAACCTGCAACTGTTTTTCTGTGGTTTCCAAGAGATGACAGCTGCACCATAATAAAAACAGTGCTGTTTTTAGGGTGTGATTCATGGGGTTAAGGGGCAGTTGGTGGATAAGCTGGGCCATCCTCACTCTCCCTCCCTGCCATGGGAACTATTTCTATTTCGAAAGCAGTACACTCCCACAGTTGAAAGCACAGGAAGATATGGATATCAATTCCAGACCCCCTGCTTACTTGCCAAGAGACTTGGGGCAAGTCGCCTACCCTCTCTGCTTCATTTTCTTATCTAGAAATTCAGAGCACTGTTGTATAAAATGAACCTGAAAATATGGTGACATGCTTGGCACAGGGCATGCAAAGAATAAGCATTTGATTAATGAAAGCAGCTCTCATTACCATCATCCATTTCAAGATGGTAGACTAACCACTAGTGACCCGAAGTCACCCCCCCACCCCCGCCCAGGATCTTGCCCCCCGCTGCACTCTAGCTTAGCCACATGACCTGCTTTGGCCAACATGGCATTAGCAAGCATGATGCAAGCCAAAGCTTGCTAAGCACTAGCACGCTGGGGCTTTTCCCTTTGGACTATTCCCTCTCCAGATGTTGCTGCCATATAAAAAGTTCAGGCTATGAATTAAAGGCCATGTGTAGAGAGGCCCTGGAGGATGAGAGGCTTCCTTGGATGTTTCATCCCAAGCAGAGCTTACAGCTGAACGCCAACTCTTGAGTGACCCCAGCTGATGCCACAGAGGAGAGACGACCCACCATCCCCACCGCGTCTTGTCCAACTTGTAAGATCAGGCATAAATAAAAGGTTGTTTTAAGCCACTACATTTTGGCATGGTTCATTGCATGGCAATAGACAGCGGAAAATGTATAACAGGGACTGGGTGCAGACTATAGCCACAAAGTAGAGTAAAATCCATTGATTTGTCATTTAGTAACATTTTCTAACCAGATGAGCCAGCCATTCCTGGGCACTAAACCACCACACGAGGGGAAAAGTAATTTATTCTTCTCATCTTCTCTTCACTCCAGGCTAGCCCCCTAAAAACATAGGCATTTGTCTTGTAAAGTTTCCAGCTGTCACTCTCCTCTCCCACCCTGGGATGCATTGTCTATGCCCTGAGAGGGTTCTACCACTTCCCCTCTCCTCTTCCACAGGTCTCAGAGATAGAGATAGCCACCTGTCCCTTGCTCCTTCTGCTACCTGTGATTCCTGAGAATATCTCTCCCATTCCTGAACGTGTCAGAATTCTCAAATTGCCCCCAGGGGGCTTTGCATAGAAATGATCACCCCTATTACGTAAGGGGAAGTTTTCTCCTCCGTCCAGTCTAGACTTCCCAGGCAGTCATGTAATAGGCTGGGCGTCTGTTTTGACAGGTAATGATGGCAGAAACATTCACCTGAAAGAGAGTGGAACTAGGTTCTACTCGCACCTTTCCTATTCACTGGCTACGTGACCTTGGGCAAAATTCTCTCCCTCTCTGGGTCACAAATACCCCCTCTATAAAGGATGGAGGAAAACTAGTTCAGAGGTTCTTGACCTAAGTCCATGGTGGGCAAAATTGTGTATGTGTCACAGACCTGTGCATGTGTCTTAGAGACAGAGCCAAATTATATATCAGATTCTCAAGGGGCTTTGTGATGCAGAAAAGATGAAGAACCCCTGGCTTAGAAAACCTTCCTGCTCCAACATGCATTATGGGGTTCTCTGCCCAACATTTCAGGAGATATGAGTCCTGAACATCAGCTACTCTCTGGCTCTAGTATTGCTTTCCTAGCTGTTTTCTTAGCACTGAAATGTATGAAAGAAGAGAAACTCAGTCTACGTGGCTTGTGAAGCCAGTGTGTCTAGAGTCAGCTAACACTGCCCTGGATATGGGAACAAAGCCCTCAGCTCCCGCCTGTGCATCAGCCTCTATTGTCTGTGCAATCAGACAGCTATTGAAGCTTGCCAGCCAAAAGGAAGGCATTACCTAATTAGATCCTCAACCTGCCTGTAAGTTAGAATGTTCAAATTTGAGTCCATTATTTTTTTTTTCTTCTTTTTATTTTACTTGAGTCCATTATTTTCTGATATGTCTGACTCTGTGCCCTTTCCTTTGCTTTATCACAGTTGGGGAAGCAGCAAAGAACAGTGGCTAAGAGTCTTGGCTCTGTATCCAGACTGAGTTCAAATCCTGGCTATTCCACACTAGCTATTTAACCTAGAACAGAGCACTACGCCTCTTGCTTCCTCCTCAGGAAACAGAGATGATAGTCCCTATTTCACAGAGCTTTGGTGAGAATTAAATTAGATAATCTATGAAGTGGCTTAGAATATAGTAAATGCTCAATAAATGTTAACTATTAGTATTAAGTTTTCATATTTAGGAAAGGGCTAGAGTAATAATGATGCAACTGGGCTTCGTGGGATACGAAGCAAACCTCATGGGCAAACAGTAACTCTGCCCCATCTTTTACACCTCTCAAACCCCAACCAGGCCCCACTGGAGATATCTTGGGCTCTTAAGAGGATGTTTCCTAAGGCCCAAGGGCGCAGGCTAGAGCCCAGCTAAGAAGACCCCACCCCCTGCAACCCCAGCTCCTCACTTGCTGTGCTGGAGGTGCTGTCTGTTTTCCAGTCTCCTCGTCTCAGCTCCGTCCTCGGGGGAAAGACGCTTTTCCTGGGGCCACTCTCATAGACTCCAAATTCCACTTTAGCAGGCAGGTGCTGTGAGTGCCGAATTGGGACTGTGATTTCCAAGTCTGGAATTGGAGGAAAGAGGGATGAGCTTCAAGACACCAGACTGTCACCTGCCAAGCTGCTCAGCAGCTTCCCTCTACCTGCCTCCCCAAGGGGAGGGGAAAAGCTGATAAGACGGGGAGGGGCCCTGGGTTGGTGGCCCCTTCCCCTTCAGCACTGAAACTGTACTGAATCCTATGTGGCTGTCACTGGGAGACAGAAGAGAGGGACAGAAGGATGTGAGAAAGGGACAGAGAAGCGCTTCTGCACCAGGGAGCGGAAGCAACAAGCCACGAGGGAAAGGTCTGGGCCCTCAGCCCTGCCGCTGAGCAGCTGTGGAAGTCCAGCAAGTCAGCTACCCGCTCTGAATCACTCGCCTTATGTGAGGGGGGATATGTCCATCCTTGACTGTAATCACAGGCTACCCTATGCACCAAGCACCGTTCTGAGAGCTTTGGCATTTTTCCCTCACTTAATCCCCACAACACCCAAGAAGTAAATACTATTATCATCAATGCCAACAGCAACTAAGGTACAGAGAAGTGATGCAGCATGTCCTGTCAAACAGCTGGTAAGTGGCAGAGCTAGGATTTGAACACAGGATCCGGAGACCAGGCTCTTAACCACTGCTCGTACAGCCCCTGGCTCTCTGCATAAAAGATGGCGGGTGGGTGGGGGGGGTAGCTGGCCCACATGGACAGTAATGACCCAGAAAGCTAATGAAAGGAAGTCCTTCAGGTCTTTGAAAGATTTTGTGACTTGCAAGGACCACAGGTAAGACAGCTGATGCCTCTGCCGAGCAAAGCACTGACCTGGCCTCCTTACTGGCTTAGCTCTGCCCAGAGATTATCTCTATTCCTCCCTACATTTCTAATGCTGGGTTCTAGGAACAGAAAACAGCTCCTCTAATAAGGAGGAAAAAAGTCTGGGGGCACCAGCACCAACTTCCTCCTGAAGGCAAGATGTGCTCCTGCCTCAAGGCTCCCCTGGCTGCCTTGGACCTTCCCAAGCCCAGGCGCAGGGTTTATACAGTGGTAGCTGTATAAACTTGGGTAGAAGAGGTGTTAGCTTTGGGGACGTGTCCTTTTATCTTCTGGTACCACTTCCTCCTCCGCCTCTACCCTTGTAGGGGACAGGCGTGGCAGGAAGTTCAGAGAGTCCAGGGGCAGCCACCTGCCAAAGCCAGAAATCTGGCAGGGTGAATGGATAAACCAGAACAGGATGAAGGAGCGGCGAGAGGACAGGGCACACTAAGGTCCCCAGCGAACATTCTGCACAGAGAATGTTCGGCGTGGATTGTTGGCTTGCATAGGCATGAGCCTTCCTCATCTGGGGACTCTAGTTCCAGGTGTGGTGTATAGTCCAAGTGTCTGACCAGCTTCCCAGGGTTTGTGTAATCCAGGTCTTTTTCACATGCTGGGGCTCTCTCAGCTACAACCATGCCATGGAAGCACCCATACCAGCTTGGAGCCACTTGGACAGAGGACAGCCAGGGGTACTTTCACATGGGTGCCACCCACAGCATCTTAAGAAACCAAACAAGTGTCAGGCTTTTTTTCTTTTTTCCTTCAGTTCTGACCTAGCTTTTTAAAAATCTCTCTTTTTTTTTTGAGACGAAGTCTCTCTATCACCCAGATTGGAGTATAGTGGCGCAATCTTGGCTCACTGCAACCTCTGCCTCCCAGGTTCGAGCAATTCTCCTACCTCAGCCTCCCAAGTAGTTGGGACTACAGGCACATGCCACCACATCCGGCTAATTTTGGTATTTTTAGTAGAGACGGGGCTTCACTATGTTGGCCAGGCTAGTCTTGAACTCCTGACTTCATGATCCGCCCACCTTGGCCTCCCAAAGTGCTGGGATTACAGGCATGAGCAACCATAACTGGCCTAAAAAATATATATATATATATATATTTTTTTTTTAAGGGAGATTCCGGTCTGCTTAGTTAACTTCAAGGAGGCAATTTTTTAACCTCAACTAATTCTATAAAGAAGGAAAGTAAAATACACAGGAAAAAAAATAGGGGTGTCAAAAGTTCAGAAAATCAGGTAGAGCCAGTCCAAATGTTTATAAAATCCTGATATTCTTTGAATAAAGGTACAGTGCTAGGGATAATTATCATGATTATATTGCATAGTGCTTTCCCAAAGTGCATTTATATGCATTATTATAGCTCCTTTGAACTTCATGACTTCTCCATTAAGTAGGTAGGTCAGGTATAACCCTGGTGAGGAAACTGAGGCACAGAGCAGCTAAAGGAATTGCCCTGGATCATAAAGTGATTCAGTGACAAAGGAGGAATCAGAACCCGAGTTTCCTGGGACCCGGTTAGCTCCTCCATGTCCTGCCCCACAGGATACACCCAGAACACAAATATTGATTATCTTCTCTGTGAGGCCCTGGCTCTCACCAGCCCTTCTCTAATTTCCTACACTATCAACGCTCTGTACCAGCCCAGTAAGAGCAAACAACTCCCTGGGGTTGAAGAAAAATGGTCAAGTTATTAAGAACAGTCTTAATTTTCTTAATTCTCTTTGGCATTCTAACCCAAATTAAAGATTAATATTTTTTTCCTAGGGCAAATGAAGTTCTGAAATGAATAGTCAGTCCCTGTGTTTAGAATGGGTTACATTCTTAGAATAGAGCCTTTATGCACAAACATTATTCATCAACCCTAATTTTCCCACAGATCTGTGTTATAATGTGTCAATAATATGTCACATTTATTCAACTATAAATGATGCCCTTTCTTTGGCAAATGCTGCCCTTGGGTATGCAGTACAGGGTCCAACTTCCAATTGCCTGAGGCTGTTTCTCATAGCAGAACGATGGGTGCTCCTCCCCCAGCAGGCCTTCACCAACAACTGATGGGGGCTGGTGTATAAATGTCCCAGCTCTCTTGCTCCTCGGTGGGTGTTCTCCACTGACTCCTTCCTGCCTCACTTCCCTATCCCCACCATAGTCCCTGGGATCACCACCCACACCAGCTATTTGCTCCAAAATCCTTATCGGGGGAGAAAAGTTCTAGAAATGGAAGTGGTAATGGTGGCACAACACTGTGAATGTACTTAATGCCACTGAATTGTATACTTTTTATTTTTTTGAGATAGAGTCTGGCACTGTCACCCAGGCTGGAGTGCTATGGTGAGATCTTGGCTCACTGCAACCTCTGCCTCCTGGGTTCAAGTGATTCTCCTCCCTCAGCTTCCTGAGTAGTTGGGACTAGAGGTACATGTCACCACACCCAACTAATTTTTATATTTTTGGTAGAGACAAGGTTTTGCCATATTGACCAGGCTTGTCTCAGACTCCTGGCCTCAACTGATCCTCCCACTTCAACCTCCCAATGGCCTCCCAAAGTGCTGGGATTACAGGTGTGAGCCATCACACCCGGCTTGAATTGTACACTTAAAAATGGTTCAAGGTTGGGCGCGGTGGCTCACGCCTGTAATCCCAGCATTTTGGGAGGCTGAGGCGGGCAGATCACAAGGTCAGGAGTTTGAGACCAGCCTGACCAACATGGTGAAATCCCATCTCTACTAAAAGAATACAAAAATTAGCCAGGCATGGTGGCGTGTGCCTGTAGTCTCAGCTACTCAGTAGGCTGAGGCAGGAGAATCGTTTGAACTGGGAGGCAGAGGTTGCAGTGAGCCGTGATCATGCCACTGCACTCCAGTCTTGGCGACAGAGCGAGCCTTGGTCCCAAAAAAAAACGTGGTTCAAATGGTCAATTTTATGTTATGTATATTTTATTACAATAAAAACCACAAACAAGGAGGCCCTTGGGGCTGACAGGCAGAACCCATGTAGATTGCTTGCTGTCCCTGGTCATTCTTGTTTGGTGTCAAATTATATACAGTTTAATCTCTCAATAGTTATTACATTGATTAAAGCTCCAATATAAAACATACAAATATTTAACACCCCTCTCCCCAAAATATCCTTGTCAGAGGGTCTGCTTCTTGGGGAGTAGGGGATGAGGGGTGGAGATAGAGCTAACTAAGCCATGATCTTTTGGAAAAATGTAGATATTGATCATTCTAATTTAGATATAGCTACTGGTGGGTATAAATCACTTGTTCAGAGCCTGATCAGCCTTGGGTGAACCTTGCATAATGTTCCAGAACTTGTGATTCATTCTGGATGGCCCTGCCTGAGAGGACCCCAGCTGGTGTGTGGGCCTCTGTGTAATCAAGAGCATGGACACTTTAAGGGGTACTCTTATGTACCAGGCACTGTGCTAGGCATTGGTTATACCCTAACTCATCCAATGTTCCCTAATGGGGTGGGCACTTTCACTTTTACCGTTTTGCAAAGGAGGACTGAGGCTCGGGGAGGTGAAGTATCTTGCCCACAGTTCCCAGCTAGTGAGGGGTGAGCAGTGAGCAGGAATTTGACCCAACCTCACTGGCCCCAGAGTCCATCCCCTCTACTCCTCTGCATGTGCGTCTGTCTTGCTTCAGTACCTCCAGTGGCACCAGGTGGAGCCTAGGTGAGTGGTCAGGATGTGAAGAGACCCAGAAGGCTCAGGTCTTGATCCCAGACTGCTGAGCACATGTGACTCCAATACTAGGACTCTTGGACCTTCAAACACTGGGTGTGCCACCAAATCACAGGTTTCTTGATGCTGTTTATATTTAAAGCCCTGAAATGTTTCATTTCATCAAGGCTCCTATCTTTAGGCTTATGGACTCTAGTTTTAAAAAGCACCTCAGTCCTTTTATCACTGAGACCCCTATAATCTGACCCTAGGATGACTGTGCACATCTTGAAACAGCTTTTCTGCCTTCTCTCCTTTCTCTTTTTCTCAACCAGCAGGACAGACAAGTGTGAACTCAGGTACTGGCAGCGTAAATTTAAAATCTAGACACCCAAGCAGAAGTCGTAGGATGACCTCTCTGACCTTCTGCGATGGTTAAAACCTTGTAACCCCTCTTCTCCCCAAATCATTGACATTCACTAGGTTAGTACTACCTGCAAAACACTGTATTAGGCATGGTGGAACAGACCCTAGTAGGGAAAGCCAAACCTGTGTGAATACAAAGATAACTGACTCATTAGGCTACCAGATGGTGAAGCTAGTGTCTCATAGGTCTCTGTATTTGGCAGCATGCCTGGTGCCTGTTATGTGTGGAATGAATGAGTGGTGTCACCAAACAGTTTCCTGAAGCCAATCATTCCAACAAAGACTTCTGAAGCTCCATCACCGTACCATGCTGCACCCTGGGGACTCCATGGAGTGCACAGCAGACATGTTTCTGTCCATGTGGAGTTTCTACTAGGAGGGAGATGAGGTGTTGGACCATAACCATGAAAACAGAAACCAAAGATGATTCCAGTCTGTGATATGTGAAAAGAGAGGATGCCAGGGAACTGAAAGTGAGTAGTGGAGGGCTCCTCTGGAGAGAATGGCAGAGAAGGCCTCTGATGAGGAAATGCTACACTGAACTCTGAAGGGTGAAAAAGGACCAGAAGGTGAAGATGTGGGGAAGGCAGGGGAATGGCAAGTGCACAGGTCCTGAGGGAGAAATGCTCTTGGCTTGTTAAAGCAATAAGAAGGAGTCCTGGGACTGGAGCACAGGGTTTGGGGGAGAATGAAGTATGGGCTCAGGGGTCAGATCACATGGGCCTTGTAGGCTGTAAGTAGGAATATGATTTTACCCTGAGTGGGATGGGAGCCCCTGGAAGGCTTTGATCAAGGGCGTGGCATTATCTGATTTTAAACACTTTTAAACATCATTGGCTACAATGGGTTAACTGTAGAAAGGCAAGAGTGAACATGGGGAAATGACTGAGGGGCTACTCCCCTGGTCTAGGCAAGGGATGATGTGGCTTGGCTGCAGCAGTGACATGGGAAATGGTCAGAAATGACCAGATTTAGGATGTGCTTTGGAAGCAGAACATCTCTGGACTGCCAGTGGCTTGGATAAAGGAATGAAGTGATATCAACCAGAGACAGAAAAAGGGAAGTGCCAGATGAATGGAAGGGGTGGTAGGTCCCACATATGCTGAATGAGGAAGGAATACCATGGCCTAGAGTGGTCCAGGAGAGCATCACTGAGAAGGGGCTGCCAGGGCTGGGTCTTGCATCCCAGTAGTTTTCATATAGGTGAGAAGGAAGAGGCATGGCATGAGCAAGGAGCCCATGGCAGGAAAGAATGTCCTGTTTGGAGATCAGGGTTTTACCAGCCCAACCAGGTTCATGGGAAGTTGGGCTGTTGATGGCAGCTGGAGAGAGACTTTGGAAGTTGTGCACAAAGAGGGCTAGATTTCTACTTGGTTCCTCGTGTGATAAGGCTCCACTCAAGATCTGAGTGCCTCTGAAAGCCTTCTCCTGCATGTTCCTCTTGCTATAAGGCTGGCCAGCGTTAATCACAGAGGCCCACCATGCCAGAGGCCCTCTGTGGGAAGGTGCATTGTTGGTAAACACCAGCTTCTTGCTCAGGGGTGGTGGTACCACATGGCTGGCACAGGGGATAGGCTTAAGGTGAGCAGGGGTGCCCAGTCCATAGTGCACACCGCTAGAATTTGTGGCCCTGCTATTGCACCGTGGGAGCTCTGCTATACCTGGGGCCTGGGCTTCTGAAGCAGTGTACGGTGCAGATGCAGATGATGCCACTGCTCACCAGAATCAGAAAAAACAGACACTGTTTAAATGGAATTTTCTCCTTTCTCTGCTTAGAAAACATACGTCCTCCTAACTACCAAGGGGAGAGTCAGGTGCTTGCAGAGGAAGTATCACCATCCTCTTTGTGTGAAAAGGAGGAAAGGATGCAGAGTTGTATGTCTTGTATACCAGGTACCAGATTGTTTATAGAATAAATAAGACATAATCCCTGCCTAAAAGGCCTTTACAGTCTAGCGGGGGACCCAGATCTGTAAACAGCGCAATGAGTGCTGGGCAAGTGGTCTCCCCACTCAGGCCACAGCCAAAAGGGGAGTCGAGGACAACAGATGACAGCAATGTCCCACACAATGCAGCGCCCTGGTAAGCCACGTACCTGTCTGCTTTCCAGATTTTTGCTTCTCTCTCTGTCTTCGGGTGATGCTGTCTCTTAGTCGTTTAAGATTTTCCTGGAAAAGAATTTTTTTTATTTTTTAAGTGTACCACGGAATGACACCCTCTGGACATGAGAGTTTCTGATTGTATGCCTTTTGTAGGGTATATCACATTGCAGTCACATTTACAATATGCACATGTGGCTCAGCAGATTCAGTCAGCCTCCAGAAATCCAAGTATTCACAGAATCTGTACCTGAAGAGAAGATAACTCTTCCACAAGAAAGAGTCTTTCCTCCCCTCTGGTTCCCAGCTCTGTTCTACACGGCCCCTCTCCTGTATGCCTGTTAGCTGAGCTCATAAAAACTCCACAGGTATTCCTGTCTCTGAGACTGTATTCTCACATCATTCCCCTGACTTTCAGGGATGCTGGTTCCTCTCCACAAGTCTGTTCCAGGCCTGCATCAAGTCTCACCTTCTCCCTGCAGCCTCCCCAGATGCTCCGGTCCTTAGTGACTGACCACACTAGCCATGCGGCATGTGGGCTGCACTGCCTCACCATGTGACACTCTTGCGGTGAGCTCTCTAACATTAAGAGACCAGGTCTTGTACCTTTCTGTAATCCTGCCATCTGGTCCATTGTAATCACTCAATAAATGTTGAATAGATATGTGAGGGTCAAGATTGTTTCTCTTTTAGTCGATTAACAATAACCCTGAAGTTAAGTGCCTGAGCATTCTAGGGAATATGCCCCAGGGAAGATGTCCAGACAATCTGGCTGGAGTAGAAGGTTCATGTGGGGGAGTTGCAGGAGGCCAAACTGAAAACAAGCGTTGGCCTGCGGCTGCAGGATGAAGAGACTGAGCTTTGTCCAGGAGGCAGCAGGGAAACGCTGAACGTTGTGACCTTGTCATGGTTTTAAGGTTCTAGTCAACTAGAAAAGAAAGAACAAAGGCCAGCCGACCTTCCTAGAGACTATGGAATGTGCCAGATGCAGGTGACAGAAGCTGACACGAGGATGTGGCTGGAGGAATGGAGAGACAGAAGCAGATGCAAGAGGATGAATGCCACAGAGCAGGACCCAGCAGGACACGCCGCTGGCTGGGTGTGCAGAAGCACAGGAGAAGGCCAAAGAGGCTCTGAGTCTCATCCGTATCTCCAAGAGAAGATGGTACAATGAGCACAGAGAGAGTGTTGGGAAAGGGAATCGGCCTTGAGGGATGATCTGTTGTTAGACAGCAGTGAGCACAGCCTCATCCACGTTGACAATGCCCAGCTTCACCTGCTCCTGGAGGGTGATAAGCTGCCGCTGGCCTGGGGCACCTCAGGAGGACACAGCCAACTGGTGGCTGGAAGCGCGGGACCGCACAGAGAGGGAGCTGAAGGAAACCTTCAGTGTCCACCTGTGAGAGGGCGATGTAAAGGAGACAGAGGAGTGGACAGAGGCAGAGGAAAAGGAAGATGAGGCCTCCACCCAGGAACGTCTCCACACCACTAACCGTTGGATGGGGGATACTCAGGAAGTGCCCGGAGACTAGCAATGTGAGCCCCCAGGGGCTGGGATTCTCTGCCAATTGAATATGGACCCCAGTTGTCTGCTATACCCAAGAGTTCTGGGCCAGTTCATGGGAAAGGAAGAGGTCTTTTGGACATAAACATAGAAAGCTAACATTCATCACTTATTTACTATGTGCCAGGTGTGCTGCTTACAGTGGCTTACATCACCTAGTCCTCCCCCTTCACATTTCAGAGGTGGAAAAACAGAGGCACAGCAAGGTCAAGGTCATCCAGCCACAAGTGGCAGAACAAAGATGTAAATTCAGGCTGCCGGCTGCAGAGCTCTGTTCTGAATTACTGTGTCACGTGGTTGCACAACTCGGCAAGGAGATAAAAAACATTGTTTAGCCAGGGCCAGCCTTTCTTCAGCAGGACTGCAGCCTCCCTGGGGCTCCTGAGTGAAGAGCACCCGTGATTCCTGCATTCGGCTCTCTAGGGTGTCCTCCCACCCTTCAGACCCCCACAGGGAGGGAGGCAGCTGGCAGAGTGGGTGCCCCTGTCTTAAGGAGCACTAAGAAGGCAGAAAGGAGCACAGGCTCTGGGGTGAGAAAGGGGATGTTTGAACCTTGACTGCCTCTTTGCCTCTCTGAGCCTCAGTTTTCTGTGGAACAGGAGGAACAATACTTATTTCACATCCGTCTATGAGCGAAACAGACCAGTTCTATTCAATGCTGAGCACAATTCCTAATGTAGCACTGTCAGAGCTCAGCCAATACTGCCTGATGACACACTTCCCCGCTCTTTACCACTAATCCTCTCCCAGAAGGCGGCCTCCCAGCTCAGCCCTGGAGGGATGCTGCTTGCTCTCCGCCTCAAAAGCTGGTATGTCAGCTAGCGTAAGAACAGAGGTTAGAATACACACCGCCAGGGTCTGCAGCGCACCACCCTGAACGTGCCCAACCCTGTCTGATCTCTGAGGGTAAGCAGGGTTGAGCCTGGCTAGTACGTTGAAGGAAGCGGCCTGAGGAGGTGGAGAGAAAAGGCAATAGTTCCAGCCCTAACTTGGCCCTGTACTAGGAAAGTCATCTTGGACGTGTCTCCTAACCCCCTAAGCTCCAGTTCCTCCTTTTTAATACAAAGGCATTGATGCACTAGGAATGAGCTTCCTAAGGTTGAGTTCGCATTCTTTTTATTGTTTTTAATTATACATAGTGTATACTTATGGTACAGGTATGGAGTTGTATATTCTCATAAAAGCTTCAAATTATACAGGTAGAGCCAGAGTCTCCTCTGACACCCCAGTCCTTCTCCCAAGAGGTGGTCCCTGGAATGGGCCTGAGGCGGCTGTTTCCAGATCTTTGTCCTTGCATTGATATACACATCCATAGAAATACAGTTTGTGTGTGGATGTGTCTGAGTTGTTTTAATTTGGGTGGTTTTGTATCTGTAACTTGTTTTGTTCATTTAATCATATTTCTTGGGAGCTTTCCACATTCTCTTTGAGTGCTAAAGTGTGATAGTTGTGAGGGTATTTGGTAGTAGGAATAGAAAGAGGGACTCTAAAAAGAAAAAAGCTGGAAAGCAGAAGCAGGGAGCCAATGCAGAGAGACAGCAGCAGAGTTAGGGTTTGTAGTTGAGCCTTTGTTCCTGATCTCAAGCCTCATGGCACCTGGAAAAGCCATCCAGCTCTCAGCCCGGGAGCCATGTGGTTACAGACCAAGGTGACACTCACACGCACTCACTGGTTTACAATCAAACTCAAACGTTCGCAGGCCCAGCCATGGGTGTCCAGGTAGGGCAATACACAAGCAACCAAGGCCCAGCCCTCCTCCACTGTCAAAGGGGGAAGCAGACATGAAACAAATTCCGTACGAAGCCAGTTACCTGCTGGAAACGAAAGGACTCCGATCGTTTCTTCTGGTTGAGCTGCCACTCTTTGAAGTGAAGCACAGCCTCATCCACGTTGACAATGCCCAGTTTCACCTGCTCCTGGAGGGTGATAAGCTGCCGCTGGCCTGGAGTTTTCATCCCCGCAAAAGGGTCATATATACTCGACTGGGGCCTGTCCCTCCACGGTCTGACAGGCGCCTCTGGAAAGGATGGCAAAACTCAGCTTGACAGCTCCCCAACTGGGGACCACTCACCAGAGGCATGGGGTTAATGAGGCTGGTCACAGGCTCAAGAGGACTTGTCTCAAAAGAACAATTACATGTGGACAAGGAGGGGGAGATACAACATAAAATCAGGGGAGAAGAAAGCAGCTTATAATTTCAAAGCCTGTCATGCTAAAGACAAGGCTGCAACATTTAAGGGAGGTGTGAAATCTGCTGAATCTGCCAAGTCTTAATTATTATTATTTTTTTTAACAGGCTTAATTCATTTCATTTTTCTTATATAAAAACCCTAAGTTGTAGACACAGCTGGAACCTGGGTCTTCTGCTCAGAGACTCTGGTGTGGGTCTTGAGAGATGGTCAGTGAATTTCTGGTAGGGAGACTTGGTGAATACAGTCTCTTTCCAGAGGTCAAGGGTCAAGTTCATAGGTGGTCCAGGTTCAAAGGTGGCCTAGGTTCACAGGTGGCCCAGGGTGGCAGTGCAGCCCCTGGCCAAGCTATAGCAGCCATCATCAGCAGCTTCTTGGGCACAGAGGCCAAGATGATGCTAGTGCCCCTGGGGGCAGGGATGAGGCACACCAGCACAGAGTCAGCAGCCTGTCACCTTGCAAGGGCTGGGTGGGGCTTGCTGATCTTGTTCCCCCTGTAAACTCTCTGTGCAGGCCCAGTGAGAGCTTGGCCAGGATGATGGCCCCTTGGATGGCAGTGGCTACCTCCTTGGAGTACTTAATATCCAGACGACATGGCCACTGTCGTCCTCAATGGGAGCAAACACCTTGAACCTGGTGTAATGACCAGCCTGGATCAGCTTCTGTACCAGCATAATCTTCGGAACCCCGTTCTTGAGAGATGACCCCAGGAAAAGGTCAATGATCTCAGTTCAGACTGCTTTATGGGCAGAGAGAACAGAGATCTCCCAGGACTTGCTCTTCATGTCCTTGGCTAGGTGGTCTAGCTTAGTGACAGGCATCCACTCCTTGTTCTCAGCCTTCCTTCCATGAGCTCCAGAGCCTTGGCCCCAGCCACAGCCACAACCTCGGCCTGAATGTTGCTGCCAAAGCCTCCAGGGAAGCCATCACAGCCTCCCACTCCAGGGCCCCCAGGCCCTCCCGCTGCATCAGCATCATCCACCATTTGGTGTATTCTTGGAGAAGCAGTCAAGCCTTAATTATTGAGAAGCCTTTAGACAGCATTTCTCAACCTTGGCACTATTGACATTTGGGGCCAGATAATTCCTTACGGTGTGGGAGCGCCCTGTGCACTGTAGGCTCTCAGCAGCATCCCGGGCTTCTACCCATTAAACGCTAGCAGCACCCCCTTCTTTAGTTGTGACAACTAAACATTTCCCCTATATTGCCAAATATTCTTTAGGGAGGGGGAGCAAAATCACTTCCAGCTGAGAACCACTGCTTTAGACTTAAATCCACACCCAGAAGAGAATACACTGGAAGAGAGTTTAGCTAGGATGCTTCCCTTAGCCCCACTCTCATCCCTCACTGAGTCTAAGCAGCATGGGGCACAATGATTGTGGACTGATGGTCATGAAATGCCCCAGGAGACTGGAACACCAATGGAATCATGACCCAGCCCAACAGCACCAGGTATAAAGTAGGTGCTGGCTTCCGGCTGGCTACCCTTGGGTTGTTCCTGTGCCAGCCTCTCTCCCACATTACAAATTCACAGTTCTCTGCTTTGGAGCTTCTAGAGTAATACGGAGTCAACCCTCATCTCTCTCCAGGCCATGAATCCAGTTCTATGGGGAATGATCTACTCACAGCAACCATGGGGCCACTGAGGCATCTTGGCATTTCACTAAATTCATATGAGGCTACTTGAATCTAAATTTCTCCAGCAGGACCCCATTTGGGCATTGTGATTCAGGGATGTAACAAGAAGAAAAAAGAGAAATGGCTTCACCAGTGAGTATTGAAAAAGGCTCAAAGACATTTATCTAGCAGTCTGCCCAACCATTCACTTATCTGTCCACACACACTCACACATCCTTCTCCCAGGTCTGCCCTTTTTTTTTTTTTTTTTTTGAGATGGAGTCTTGCTCTGTTGCCAGGCTGGAGTGCAGTGGTTTGATCTCAGCTCACTGTAACCTCCGACTCCCGGGTTCAAGTGATTCTCCTCCCTCAGTCTCCTGAATAGCTGGGATTACAGGCACATGCCACCATGCCCAGCTATTTTTTGTATTTTTAGTAGAGATGGGGTTTCTCCATGTTGGCCAGGCTGGTCTCGAACTCCAGACTTTGTGATCCACCTGTTTTGGCCTCCCAAAGTGCTGGGATTACAGGCATGAGCCACCAACCCCAACTGCCCTTCTCAAGGCTCTCTAATGGTGTTGGGAGATGCAGTGGAGGAAAAAACAAAATGTACAAGCCAACCAGTTCCCGTTTCCCACTACCAGAGCCCTTGGGGGATGCCTTCGGATGCTTAGATGGTGTCACGGCTACTTTTCAAAAGAATCCTCAGTGGAATAATACTGAGTGTTTCTGTTTAGCACAAAAAAAAATTAATAAAGAAAAAAACAAAAGAGCACTTAGCTCCTCAAACTTCCTTTAAAAGTGTTTAGGAAAATGAGACTTCCAAGTTGTTCCCCAATGGCAAGCAAAATATCTTTTAAATAAAAGTTGAATCAAAGTATAGTCTAACTAGTATAGATAAGGTAAGTAAATAGCCCAGAAAGGCTGTATTATTAGGTAAAGACTGGGTGCTGGGCCGCCTACTTTCATCCTGTTGGCATCAACCTCCGTGTTTAGATTGTACTTTTATGTGCCATACGGATACTTTCCACTAGATTAAGGTCATTTGTATGACCAATTTGTACAACATTGTAGAGGACCCTGATCTCCTCCTCTCCCCATTTACCATCAGTACAAGACTCTCAGACAGCGCCACCCTAAGGTATCTTTGGATCTCTCTTTTATTTATTTATTTAATTTTTGTTTTTGTTTTTCTTTTCTTGAGACAGAGTCTCACTCTGTCACCCAGGCTGGAGTGCAGTGGCTCAGACTCAGCTTATTGCAACCTCCCCCTCCCAGGTTCAAGCGATTCTCCTGCCTCAGCCTCCTGAGTAGCTGGGACTACAGGTGCCTGCCACCATGCCGGGCTAATTTTTTGTATTTTTAGTAGAGATGGGGTTTCACCATATTGGCCAGGACTGGATCCCTCTATTTTTCAGTGCCACAGAGCTATTGTTGCACTTGGAAATCACTAACCTACAAACACTTCTACCACCCAAAAGTTCAGCTCATATAACATCTGGCTTACCTTTCCTGATGCTCTCTGAGGAAACGTAAAAATTCCCAGGTCGCTCTTGATTTTTTTCTGCAAAAACTATGAGATAAAGAATATTCTGATTACCGAAAAACTATCAAAATCTAGTACAAAATAATAGTAATAATGAATCCATACCTAGGACCACCGTATGTGGTTTTGTAAATCAAAATTGCAGAAAGAGGCAATTAGTGAAAAGGACTAGGAATTGTCAAGTAATGGCAGACTAAACAGATACAATCTCAAAACTAGAAAGACAAAGCCAGCCAGAGGACATGATCAGAATTTATAAGCTCATTAAAGAAAACAGTAATGGGAGCGAGGACATGTGCCTGGACCCCTGAACACCTGAAGCTAGCCATGGAAAACTTTGAAATTTGAGAATAAAAGGAAATGCCACTTAAAATGCCAACTAGTGCCATAAGACAGAACTCCAGGCAGTAGAATATTATAGTAAGTGTACAGCTCCAAAGAGATTAAGATGAAGTCATTTATGAGGCATAGATTCATGAAGGTTAGGCGAGAAAACCGGGACATGACAAATGTTCACTTAGTGATAAGATGGCATGGTGACGCTGGCTCCCTGGGCTCTGAAAGAGGCCCCTTGAATCCAAATGCTAGCTCTGTGGCTTGTGAATCATAGGATCTTGGACAAGTGGCTTGACCTCACCCTATCCCTGTTTCTTATCTGTAGAATGGGGATGATAATAGTTCTTTCACTCGAGTATAATGAGTATTAAATGAGTTAATACATGGAAAGTACTTAGAACAGTGCCTGGCCCATGTAAACACTCAGTGTTAGCTTTCATTATCATTATTCACATCTGAACTTTGAGACTATTGCCAATAGTCAGCAATACCTTGGCATGCTAGTTAACCCAAGTAATGTCTCCATAATGCCTTACTGTTTATAAAGTACTTCCTTCTGTATTATTTCATCTGACCCTCACAATAAGGCTATGGCAGAGTATTAGTATATATTATTAGGACATGTATTAATGTATGCATGTAACATTACAATACCCATTTTATAGATGAGGAAACTAAAGCCTAAAAGGGTAAAATGGCCCTGGGCACGGTGACTCACACCTATAATCCCAGCATTTTGGGAGGCTGAGGCAGGAGGATTGCTTGAGCACAGGAGTTCAAGACCAGCCTGGGCAACACAGCAAGACCCTGTCTCAAAAAAAAAAAAAAAAAAAAAAAGAAAGAAAAGGGTGAAATGACTTCCCAATGTCCTATGCTGTACAGCTGGAAAATGCAAGAGCTGAGAGATGAACCCAGGTGTTTTGGTGTCCAATCCTTTGCCCCTTTTGTCATCTCCTGCCTCTCTTCTCTCCTTTGCTTCTCCACAGTTTCCTAGCAAGCCCATCAGGGCTCTTGAAGGATCATCTGTGCCCCTGTCCAAGCACCTCCCTACAATGAGCCATGCCAACAATACTGTTCCCTACTCCTTCCGCTATTTAGGAATGACCAGCATATATTTGCATGCTTCTTAGATGGAGTTCCCTCAGAAGCAGAACCTGAGACAAGGATTCAAGTGCACGCAGTCTATTTGAGAGGTGACAGAAGTAAGCCGGGGAAGTGGATGGTGCACTAAATGGTGGGTAATCAAGCCAGTTACACTGTGGGCAACTTTGGAATCCCTAGAAATCAATGTAGAATGCGTAACTAAGAATTATCCCACCGGAGGGGCAAGTAAATTGGGACATTCATCCACACCTTCTGTCAGGCACTGGTTGAGGGCAGCGACTCTGTGTGTTAATTCTCCAGTGCTTTCAGCCTGTCCTGTAAGAGGGCAGAGAAAGCTCCAGGTGCTAGAGGAAGCCCTTGGGCTGAAAGACACAGGTGCTGACAGGTAGGGTCCAGCCAGTGAACACAGAAATGTAAAGGGCTAGGGGGACACGGGCAGGGAACCAACAGTGTCTGCTGCTCATGCCAAGGAGATGTTACCCAAGAAGACTGCAGGCCATAAGCAGTCACTGCACCTGGCTGTACGTAGTATCTCACAACTGTATTCCTACCCAGTTCAGGGTTGCTGGATTTTGCAAAACAAAAGCAAAACAAAAATGTGTGTGCTATTTGGGACATACACTAAAAACTCATTTGCTTGGGACATACACTAAAAACTCATTTGCTATTTATTCGAAATTCAAAGTTAACTGGGCATCCTGTATTTTATCTGGCAACCCCAATCCAACTACCTAGGGCTCTGGGTGAATGCTACCCTTCCCCAATTTATAATTCCCTTTTGCCACACCCCCCAATAACATGATGATACCATTGAAAAACAGAATATAGTTCAGGGGCACAGATCTGGCAATTCTTTTTTTTTTTTTTTTCTTTTTTCAGATAGGGTCTTGCTCTGTCGCCCAGGCTGAAGTGCAGTGGTACAATCTCAGCTCACTGCAACCTATATCTCCCAGGCTCTAGCAATGCTTCCACCTCAGCCTCCTGAATAGCTGGGACTACAGGTGCGTGCCACCACACCTAGCTAATTTTTTGTAGAGACAGAGTTTTGTCATGCTGCTTAGGACAGTCCTGAACTCCCAGGTTCAAGTCATCTACTGCCTTGGCCTCCCAAAGTGTTGGGATTACAGGCATAAGCCACCCCTCCTGGCCTATTTCTAATACTCTTAAAGTACTTGTAACCATATTATTGCAACCAACTCCAAAAAATAGTGAAACCAACAATGCCATCAGTATCTAACTAAAGTCCCAGGGACAATTATGAAGTCAAAACCCAATTTTTAATAACATAAATAGATGGTCAGCCTAGCATAGTAACTAAAAGCCAGGGCTGTGAAGTCAGATTCTCTGAGTTCAACTCTTGGCTCTGCTATGTTATGGTTGAGTGACCTCTGTAAAGCCTCTATTTCCTCATCTGTAAAATGAGATAATGATGGTCCTTACCTAATAGGTTATTGTAAAGATTAAATGGTGTGTTCCAGATAGAGCATTCTTGATAGATTTCAATAAATGTTAACTATTCAAAATTAATAATATCAAGAAGGGTTTCAGGAGATAAAAATTTATCAGGGTTCTTGTTTACCGGCCTTTGCAACTGTGCATAAATACTTCATGGAAGGCCAGCACTGACTCTGGTCATTGCTCCTATTCTAGCTCCATAATCTGTCCCAAGATATGACCCTGTCTACTAGGGCTGGTTGAAGACCATTTAGAAGGGGATAGTCTCTGAGCAATGGTTCAAAAAGCCAGATCATCCAGGAAATCCCTGTTGAGAAGCTCCAAAGACCCTGCTGGGCATCATTCCTTGCCACACTTGCCTTTAGAAATATATGGTTCATTGTCGGGCAGCTGGTGAGCGCCAGGAGCAGTGGTCTCTGGTCTGGGTACTGGGACAGGGGGCCTGCTGGCCAGGTCCACGGAAAAGGCCTCATCTTCATCGACTGTGTAATAAACATCTTCTTCCTGATCAAGATGGCATAGATCTCTCTCCAGATTGGTCATTCCCATGCTGTTGCCTAGAAACACAGAGAAAGGTGACTGAAAGCGGCGGCCAAACAAACTGGGTGTCTGCCAGTCACAAAAGCAGAGTGAGGGACCCCACCTTGTTTTCTCAGTGCTGCCCTCTGCCATGGACTTTCCCCAATATCACTTCCTGTACCATCTGCTCAGAACACCATGCAAAGCAACTGAGAAAACACTCACGCCACCTTCATTGACACCCAGCGATGCAGTGCAAGGACATGAGCACAAGGCTTCATCATCTCTGTTTTACTCCTGGGATTCAGTTATTCATCCCATTAGAACTAGGGAAAGTCCTAGATAAGACTAACTGTCAAAGCCCTAGTTAAGAAAGGTGGGGCGTTCACTGCCGACTGTCCAATAAAAGTGATACTTCTTATCTAGGGCTTGAAACAGACTGCCCAGGACTCTTCTCTCAGGAAAACCTCTCATTCTAGAGTGGGGATCAGAACACATTTTTTAAAGATCCAAATAGTAAATATTTCAACCTTTGAGGCTGTAAAGTCTGTTGCAGGTACTCAACTCTGCCCCTGTGACATGAAAGCAGCCGTAAACAATACTAAATAAATAGTCATGTTGTGTTCCAATAAAACTTTATTTACAAGACAGTCAGCTGGCCGGGCTGTGGTTTATCTACCACTGCTTTAGAGTTTTTTTCCTTCCTCTTCACTGTGAAAACTACACACAGTGTAGTTTTGTCCCCTTGAGTCCCATCCTCTTAGCACTCTGCTTTCAATATCTACTTGATTAACGGACCCCACCATACATTGTAAACGATTGGACAGGGTTAAAGAATGACTCATGCAATTTAACACCCTCTATCTTTGAAACCTTCAATAATAATAAAAACAATAATAAATCTTTATCAACTGCTTGTTATATGCATGGTGGTGCTCTGAGACCTAATGCATACTAACTCATTTAATTATCACAATATTTATCTTATTTTACAATGGAGGAAACTGAGCCCCAGAGGAGTTGAGTAACTCGCCTAAGGTGTTCCAACTAACTGGATGAGACAATTGAGAACAGATCAGAGTTCACATTCCTAGCCACTAAATAACAGCCTCAACTTAGTAATCCTTGTTTGTATTCCCCTCCTTTACCAGCAAGTAGAGTCTCCTGAAGGCATTCATCAGAGCTTATTTTTCTTTTTATTTCCAGCCCCAACATGCAGAACAATGCTTTGCACATAGTAAGCACTCAATAAATTTTGGTCAAATAAAAGCAACATATGCATTTTAAAAGGAGGTCTTGCTAAAGGCAACTTGTTTACGCAAACAAGTGGTTCCACTGGTTGGAACTCTTGGACCACCTCTAAAGGACTGATGGGGGAGCTCAAGATAGAGAAGTAGAGGGAGGCGCAGTGCCTTTATTCACGTCACATGCCATGTATGCAGCAGCCCATTCCTTGACAGGAGCAACCCTCAAAGAGAACCAGACAACGTCTTGCATTTTGTTTCTTTCACTCTTTTAGCTTCCCTCCTCATGTCTACCACTCACCTTCTAAAAACTTTCGGATCATAGTGTCCTTAGTGGCCCGAGAGAAACCGTCTCCAGGGATTGGGTTAGATGTACTGGCCTGAAGCATTTCAACATCTGGAAGGAAAAGGAGACTAAGAGTTATATATTATTCTCCTACACAGGCAAGGAGTTTACAGATGGAACTATGAGGTTTGGCAACTCTCTTAAGAGATTCAAGCATTCATCGATCTATCCATCCCTCCATCCATCCACCTACCCAAGGACACCCAGTAAGTACGGGGCATGAAAGAGAGCAACATGCACAACCCTCAGGCTCTTCCTTGCACCATAGGTCTCAAAAGGTAAAGATATGCTTATTTGCATCTGAAATAATAGGTTTAATTTTGAAATACTACATCGTCGCACTATTACAGAAAAAAAGGAAATAATAACAGGGAATAAATTGCGTTATAAATATGTGTATATACACACATGTATATATGTATATTAGAAGCAGGGTCCCAGGCTGGAGTGCAGTGGATATTCACAGGCACAACCACAGGACACTGCAGCCTTAAACTCTTGGCCTCCAGCCATCCTCACACCTCAGCCTCCCAAATAGCTAGGATTACAGGCATGCACCACCATGCCTACTTTACAAATTGTGGTTTATTCAAACAATGGAACATTATACAACAATTAAAAAGAATGTATTGAAGCTATTTCTATCAACATAGTTACTTTTGAAAAACAATGTTGAGTGAAAAAGTTACAGACAGGTGTCTGGTATTATATTGCTTACATAAGGTTCTAACCTATAAAAATATAGTACAAATTGTTTATGAATTCATACATATGCAGTACACACATAAATATTCTGGGAATGATAAATATTGAATAAATACCTCTGGAGAGGGAGGGAGGATAATTGGATTCCGGAGGGGGTTAGTAGGGAACTATAACTGGAACCATATTATTTAATTTAAAAAAAAAAAAATTTGAGAGAAAAAGGAATGAAAAGGAAATATATATTCTTAAAGATTCTGATAAATATGAAGACTCAGAATCTTCAAAAACTATATTTTAGATAATATACTACCCAAAAAGGGAAAAATAAGATTCTATTTTTGTATTTGTTTATATATATAAAAAAGAAACTCTGGGCCAGCCATGTTGGCTCACATCTTTAATCCCAATACTGTGGGAGGCCAAGGCAGAAGGATCACTTGAGCCTAGGAGTTCGAGTCCAGCCTATGCAACAAAGTGAGACCCCATCTCTACAAGAAAAATAAAAAATAGAAGAAATTAGCTAGGTATAGTGGCACCTCCCTGTGGTCCCAGACACTTGAAATGCAAGGGGGAGAATAGTTTGGGCCAGGGAGGTCAAGGTGGCAGTGAGCTGTTATCACGTCACTGCCCTCCAGCCTGGGTGATAGAGCAAGACCCTATCTCAACCAAAAAAAAAAAAAAAAAAAAAAAAGAAGAAGAAGAAAAAAAGAAACGAAACTATGGAAGGAGATATGAGAAATTAATATCAGTGGTTTATTGGGAACTGAAATGGGGATAAGTAATACAGAAAGATATTCCACTGTTCATCTTCCTATACTTTAGCTTTTCAGCCTATTTGAAAAAATAAAGAAATGCAGTACTCTGACATGATCGTGTTACCTTATTATCCAAAAAACACACAAAACAAAAACCAACCTCCTTATTTCCACTTCTTCAGTTTGTGTCTCTTGGCATAGTGGGCACATTACATAAATATAATGTACCTTGATGTCCTCCAGTTCAGGGCACTACAATTTCCAAATGAGGACCCAGTAAATGAACCCCACCCGCCCGCTTTTGTCACCACTGAATTCCATAACAGACTAGAAAGCTTAGGGTAACTGTAGTAATCCTGAAGCATACCTAGAGACGCATTTATTATTTTAAACATGTTATGATAAGAACTCACACCTAATTCATTCTTTGAAAATTCAAGACCAGAAAAATTCTACTTATATGTTGAGACCTTCAGTTTAAGTTGCTTAATTGTGTTTCATGGAACATTTTTTTCACAGAGTTAGAAAATTGGAGGCTGGGCCCAGGGTGTGACACCTATAGTCCCAGCACTTTGGGAGGCTGAGGCGGGAGGATCACTTGAGCCCAGGAGTTCAAGACCAGCCTGGGCAACATAGTGAAACCCTGTCTCTACAAAAAAAAAAAAAAAAAAAAAAAAAAAAAAATGGCTAGGCATGGTGGTACAGGCCTATAGTCCCATCTATTCAGGAGGCTGAGGTGGGAGAATTGCTTGAGCCCAAGAGATCTGGCTGCAGTGAGCTAGCATCACGCCACCACACTCCAGCCTGGGTGACACAGTGAAACGCTGTCTCAAAAAAAGAAAGGAAAAACGGGAAGGTGTGTGCCCTGCTAAGAGCAGGACCCTCCTCTACCTGACCAAGATTCCGTATTGCCTTCCTCCTTCCTAAGCCTTACCCCAGTCTCCACTCCCAACTGCCCAAGCCCGACTCTGGCCCCAGTTAATTTCTTGAATTCCAGTTTGAAACTCATCATTAACCCAGCAATGAAGCACCAAGGAACTTGCCCCCAAGGGAGGGCATGCTTGGGTCAGACACCCCTAAAGATGAGGGGAGGGAGAAACTCCACAGACCTGTAGTCCAGCTTTATACTGCCCAGTGCTGGACTCTCGAGAAAACCATACCTCAGGCCCCAGCCACTCCAAGAAACTTCTCCAGGGCACAGCAACTTCAGGACCGTTATAATCACTAATTACCCAATTTCCCAGGCTGATAACATCAGAGTGCAAATCTCACATGCATAATCTGTCAACTCTGTTGACAGAGTGGTAAAAGCCTCATGCAGTGGTCCAGCTATTTTCACTAACAAAGTTCAATTGGAGAGAGCTGATTTGCATGTTGGAGAGGTAGGTGCAAAACTGAAGGAGGTACAAAGAGAATTTAGGGCAATAAAATGTGGAAGAAAATAGCAGAAGCAAAAGCATCCCTGGCTGGGCCTGGCATGCTGACATAGTAAGGATGCAGACTTCCACCCCAGGTACTATAACCCCTTTCCCAATGTGCTCATTTTGGAGGGAGTTAAAGAAAGAATTTTAAAAGAAAAAAGAAAAGGTGGGTCGGGCGCTGTGGCTCAAGCCTGTAATCCCAGCACTTTGGGAGGCCGAGGCGGGTGGATCACGAGGTCAAGAGATCAAGACCATCCTGGTCAACATGGTGAAACCCTGTCTCTACTAAAAATACAAAAAAAAATTAGCTGGGCATGGTGGCGCGTGCCTGTAGTCCCAGCTGCTCAGGAGGCTGAGGCAGGAGAATTGCCTGAACCCAGGAGGCAGAGGTTGCGGTGAGCCGAGATCGCGCCATTGCACTCCAGCCTGGGTAACAAGAGCGAAACTCCGTCTCAAAAAAAAAAAAAAAAAAAGAAAAGGCTAGGCATGGTGGCTCACACCTGTAATCCCAGAACTTTGGGAGGCCGAGACAGGTGAAGTGGTTGAGGTTAGGAGCTTGAGACCAGCCTAACCAACATGGCGAAACCCTGTCTCTACTAAAATACAAAAATTCGCTGGGTGCGGTGGTGGGTCCCTATAATCTCAGCTACTCGGGAGGCTGAGGCAGGAGAATAGCTTGAACCCAGGAGGCAGAGGTTGCAGTAAGCTGGGATTGTGCTACTACACTCCAGCCTGGGGGACACAGCAAGACTTGTCTCAAAAAAAGAAAAAACAGAACAGAAAAGAATGAGCAAATGAGCACCAGTAATGAGACTTAGGAACATCATGACTCCTTGCACCAAGGAGCACATCATTTCTATGGCATTCTTGCCAAAATTCATAACCTCAGCCCAATCATAGAAAACATCAGACAAACTCAAACTGAGGGGCATTCTACAAAATAATTGATCAATGTTCTTCCAAAGCATCGAGACAATGAAAGACCGAGGAACTGTTCCAAACTGAAGGAGACTGAGAAGAAATAACTAAATGCATTATAAGATCCTAGAAAGGTTCCAGAACAGAAAAGGAACATCAGCTGCACAACTAGAGAAATTTGAACAAGGTCTATAATTTAGTCACAAGTGCCGTACCAATGTAATTTCCTGGCTTTGGTCATTGTACCACGGTTATATAAGAGGTTCATATTAAGGGCGCCTGGGTGAAAGGTATGCAGGAGCTCTGGTATTTTTGCAACTTTTCTCTCTAAGTCTAAAAGTATTTCAAAAATAATTTTATATATATATAAAAAGGAGAGGAGGAACCACTCTAGCAAAACTAAATAATCATAGCTCCTGTGGATGATCCAATAATCCTCCTTCCTATCTGCCTGCACCATCAAGCTAAGTACTTTCCAATGACACTGTGGAACACATGTATGCAGGCACAATGATCAAGGTGGTGCTAAATGAACCACTTGTGAAAAACAAACACTTTTACATTATAGTCATGCCTTAACTGGTGGTTAAGAGCATGATTTTGGAAGCAACAATGTAGGTTCGGCTAAACATCAGCTCTGTGACTTGGTAGAGTTATTCGGCCTCCTTGAGCCTCCGTGAGAGTGTCTCACAGGATGATTAGAAGTTTGGTCATCAGGATCAAAATGCATAGGTTCTAATTTTGTCTTTCTCACTTCTGGCTGTATGACTACACACCCACCAGTCCAACACCAACCAGTCTTTTTAGGTTCAATTAAACATTCAGACTCACAAGATGACCCTGGGCCAGGCTTGGCACCAGTCTACTCAGAAAGATATAGGACACAAGCTAGCAGGGCAGCGCCGAGAGCTGATCTTCCTTTGAGTAGTCCTTGCACCTGACCAGCAGCTCAGATGCAAAGAGACAAGATCCATAGCAGGCCGTACTGGTGAAAAACCTCACATCCTATAAGAGCAATTTCTCATAGCAACTCCAGAGGCATGGCTTCCGGGGTCCCAGTGAGAGAATTGCCAGAGTTAAGGCCCTCAGGAAAGGCTAAAGAATGGTGTCCCTTTCAGTATTTCTAGTTCCTGTACAGATCCTCCCAGTTCCAGGTGCAATTTACCAATCAGGAGCCATTTTTATTGTAGGCAATGTTGCCTGGAAACATAGTTGACATTTGGCTCTTATCAGGTTACCGGGGTAACAGAGC